TTCTATAACTGCTCTTTCCTTTACGTAACTGTACAAAACTCATCTCTATAAATATGAGAAAAAAATACAAATAAAGAGGGCTCTCTGGTTCTCTCTACAATGAATTCTGGAGTTATTCTACTCTTTCTTTTTTTTTCCTTTGTCATGTTCTAACTCTCGGGGCGTGTTCATAAAAGACAATTCAAGATTCAATAGAAACTATAAAGAATATTATAAATAAACAAAAAATGACCTCAAGAAAAAATTAAAAGGTGACACGCTATTTTTGTAGCCTAAACTTCTTAGACTGCGAGAGAAGAACTGGGGATAGTAAAGGGCGATCGTCATAGTCGGCTTGCAAAATATAGTGCAAGATTCCTTTCGATTTGCAGATGGATATGATTATATTATATAATTAAAACAATCATTTGATTAAACATGATATTATTGTAATAATTAAATTGAAAATTTTTATAATTAAATTAAGGTTCATCCGAATTTTACTTTTAGTAAGCTTGTAGTTGAGAAAAATATTTCGATGAAATGAGCTTAGTCATACTAAAAATATTTGTTCTAAAGTTCAAATGGTCCCAAACCAAACACATAAAACATTATTTAAATAACTTGTAAATAGACCTACATTATTTAAGTGAAGGGAACCTAAAATAAGGGAGAGTTTATATTTAAATAACCATAGAGCTTTGTCTTTTAATTAGTGATCACTACTATTAATCATTTTATCATTCCTCAATCAATATTACCATCATTATCCCCCAATTATCATTGCCTAATAGTTGTCGTTTGTTTGATTGCTATCCTTCATGAACATTTTATTTTATAATTGTGGAATCATCATCATCTAACTATCATTGTTATTGGCTTACTATATTTGATCCTCCATCATCATCTCATGATCTCCTTGCTGCCACTATCCATAGATGACACTTATATCTACAAAATAACATTTGTCTTCTAATTATCATCACCAACCTTAATTACTTTTCTAATATGTTATCTTAGAATCACAGTTTAAGCTAGTGACCCATATTTATAACCCTATCTACTCTAATCAACGAGAAGATGAATTATTTAAATTATGATAGGCCTCATAATTTTTTCCTCTTTCATGAAATTTCATGTAAAAATATTATGTATCTTTTAAATACTAAAAATTATCATTCTGTTGCCACAAAATTAATATATATATATATATATGTTTTATTTATTTATCATACAAATAATTCCATTTAATCTTTATGAATATTTGACGCCATAACTGAATATCATGCCCCATCCCGCACATGCCGGGCGCCATCGTGGTGGACGTGCAAGCTGCAACTGACGCTCCCGCCAAAATGTAACGTTATAACCCGCCAAGTCCCTTCCCATCCTGGTAATCTTCCCTCTATCTGCCTCTTCTTCTTCCCTCTTTGCCACTTGAGCTGCTCTCTACCAACTGAGATGGAACCCCTAACGCCTTCTGGTTTCTCCGGTGATATCGAGAAGCAGAAGATGCCGTTAACTTCTCCTCTTCGGCATAAGGCTTCATCGGTTAGTGTATCTGCTTCAGAGGAGATCCCCACGCCGGAGAAGCCAGCACAGCTTCCTCGGCGTGCCGGCAGACGGAGCCTGCCCTTTTCAATCAGCGACGCGCGTCGGGTTGCCATGGGGCTACCGATGCCCGGAAATCAATACTCCAGCCGTTCGGATCTTCAGAGATCTGATGGCGAGCCGTGGCAGAAATCTCAATCATGTTCCGAATCGATCACCTCGTCCTCAGCCGCAAGAAACACTGAGAAGCTTTCGGAAAAGTAGGATTTTGAGTTTTTCCCCGGTCTTTTCAGTGGTTTTCTGAATCTTTACTTTTTATTTTCTTTAATTTTGCAAAGTGAAAACTGAAGTTAAAATTAGGGTCTTTTATTTATTCTACATTAATGTAGATATTTGCCCAGTTCTAGTATCATGAAGTGGTTTGATCGAACCGTTGAAAAAGGCGATTCGAAATTCCATTTTGTTCTTATTTTATTCTTTCACTGCGATATTTCATTTTATTTTTTGATGGTTAATATGTAATCTGTTTTGGAAATGATTAGAGGGTTTTGTTAATTTTATGTGGGTATCCAACTGTCGAAGAAGATATTTCAGTTAATAAAGAATAAGATTAACTGGTTATGAAAATTTTTTAATGTCTTTATGGTGTTCTATTCTCTTTGAAGGATTTTTTTTTAATCTTTGAAGTTTCATTTTTTTCTTAATTTCCTCTTCAAATATTTAAACTTAAATAATCTCTTGCTTTATATGCAGTTATGAAATTCTGGCAGAGTTCTTCAATTGCTTGGACTGTTCAATCCGATTAGTTCGGCTGAAAGGAGCGTTGAGTTCATTTACAAACATCAGTGCTACCATACAACGTTTAACAGAAAGGTACATGTTTTGTTTAAGAAAAAATCATTTCTATTCATGCCTTATAGTTAGTATAGTAATTTGGATTATATTTGAGCAAAGTGCTGTAAATTAATCTTCTTGTGTTCTGATTATTTCAGGAGCTTTACTTATAAGCATTTAGCACAAATGAAGCATATCCTACCTGAAGCAATTTCAATTAAAAAGGTGCTTTTGTTTGACGAGGCTACCTGCTGCATGAAGCCAGAACTTCAAGTTTCTCTGCAACCAGAGGCAGTAGAAAGCAACCTGAAACAGAAATGGGAGAGTGCACATTCAGCCTTAAGAAAAGTTTTCAGAACGAGGCTTGTCCAGTTTGCTAGAGAACATCCAGAGGTACGGATCTCTTGATTTATTTGATGCTTCTTCTTATTTTCTTGTGGCATAATCTGATTATTTACTGAAAAAGGTTTCTTTTCGCTGCTTTCAGGAAGATGACATCCCGGAAGAAGCACTGCCACATCCTTTTGGTTTCACAAAACCAAGCATGTCCACTGAACTTAATAAATTAGCCCCTTCTATTCCAACCGGATCATTGCCCACTGCCCAAAAAGCCGAAGCTTTAACTAAAGTTTCACACTTCTCTTCATCTTTCCAGAGGAGGTTTTCTTCAAGATCTCCATGTTCTGATGAAATGAAAACTCCTCTTGCATCCTTGAGTGATGCTGCCACTAATGTTGATTCATTAGTTTCCAGTTTTCCATCCCCTGTTAAAATTTCTTCAAAGCCTCCACTTTACAAAAAACCAGTGCTTTCTTTTCCCAGTAGAAGACTCTTGACGTCAGAAGAGGATTCAGAAATGCTGACCAGTGTACACAGCAGCATTGCAAGTGAAATAACATCTTCCGAATCCACTCCAGTCAAGGGCATTCTATCTTCTGCAAGGCTAATGACCCTTACGCCAGACCTTCACACACCAAAGAGAAATCACACATCCACAATCGATGAGACTCCACAAAAAGCTGTTGTGAAACGGGCAACTCGAACCAAATTATTTTGGACTCCAAGAAAGAATGTGGAGTCAGATGTTGCAGAAAACTTATCTGAAGCTTCACTAGTTGAAGATGATGTTCTTGGTTTTCTTCCAGAGTCACTTCTACAAGATGTAAGTCTATTTAGATAACTTTGAGGTTGTAGTTTTTCATCCTCTTCAATTTAGACAAGCTCTTGAATATATTATCATCTGTTTGTAGATAAGGGAGAAGGAAAAAACTGCGATGGAGGAAAAGGAAGCCAATGCAGCTGAGGCCAGGCTGCGGAAGAAGATGATTGCAAGTTTGCCTAAGCTTTTTGATTCCATACTCCTAATATTTCAGACGGGGAATAGATCTGTAATTACAAAGCGAGAGCTTGTTCACAAGATTCTTTCATATAACTGCAGTGTAGTTGATAGAAGTAAGACTTGATTTGTAATGTTTTGTGTTCTTTGATACAGCATATTAATGCTTAATGTTGTATAATATTTATTTTATTTGATGTGCTTCAGATGAAGTTGAACAGCAGTTGGAGTTATTGGAGGAATTAGTCCCAGATTGGATTTTGAGGAAGACAACAATTTCAGGGAATGTCCTCTATTGGTGAGTTTCTTATATCATCCCTTCTTTTGTGCGCTACATGTCTGGGATGGATTACTAATTTCATGGAGGGCTCATTTGGTTGTTTGAAGCTAAACGTTTGGGGCATTTACATACATGCCACACAATTCTTATGTATTTGCATATCTAGCACCTGAACTTTCATATTTACATGCTCTACACTCAAATTATCATTATTATTAACTTTTTAATTTGAAAATAGACTTTTTCATGCATAGGTTTATAACACAAAAATGTTATGAGTGTAAATATCAAATTTTCAGTGCTAGTATGTGAATACATAAGAATTTTGTGACATGTAAATTTCCCTAGAAAATATGATCGGAAACAAAGTAAAATTTGTTAGATCCATTATTTTATTTGGACTTGGTTAGAGAATTACAATCTATATAGGCATGTGAAGTGCATTATTCAGAGCATTAACTATGTTTTGTGCAACTGTTTACAAGTTGAGATGCAAAAAAGACCTCTATGACCATTCTGACACATTGCGCTTGTATTCAGTGTGAATAAAATGTCAAGCACACAAGAGATTCGGCAGAGGCTTGCAGTAGCAGAGTGAACCATTGCGCAGAGTACATTTTGCTGATTCAGAGTGATGTTAAGTTTGCCTTGCGAGCTTGGAATGGAGTTCTGCAACTTTTTTCTGTAATTTAACATTAGTGATGTAGTTAGTGGTCGCAACCAAGAAGAAACCAGATGAAATATTGTATATTTATTTGGTGTAAGCTATAGAAAAATCTGTCTCTCATGTAGCATGTGGTAGTGAGGTCGTCCTTGTTCAATTTTTTATCAAAGCAGCCCATCCCTGCTTGTTAGTTGTATAGTGTATGCGTCTTGACACTCAAATTTTACATGAAAAATGGGAAATTTAATATTGGAAATTTCCTCCAATCTGCAAAATCTCTTATATTTTATCTTTTCCTTGCTAGCAATATTGTATGGTACACTTGTGTTGAGGATGACGTTTTGACGTACCTGCTTGTGAGAGATTTGAATAATGGCTCATTGTTTTTCTTGTTGATGCAAAAAGATCTGGTTTAAGGGATGTTTTAATAATCATATTATAAGTTTAGGTCGGTTAAATTTTTCAAATGAATTAACAAGAGTAAAGGCAAATGTGAAAATTAATCTATTGCTTTTGTTCGTTTGGGTGAAAGCTCACGATGGAGCCATATGGTTTGAGAGTTTAATTTTGATACTCAAAAAGACAAGCTGAGTGCTTAAAAAGTTGTTTATTGACGGCTTCCAAAAGTTTGATTTTCAAGCACAAACGACATCATTTTAAAATTAATGGATAAAATGATAAATAAATAAAATATGTAAATACTTGCCGTCTGATCCGCAGCCCCGTCTCATAGATAGTGATCCATAGCTCAGTGTCACGACCCACTCTGCTTCGCTGTTCGATCCAGCCATCTTCCGTCGTTCAATCGTGCTTCTTGTATCATTGGCATGGCCCACGACAATGAAATCAATTTAATCAGGCAACATGTGGTCTGGCGACGTAAACCCGTCACAACAAGATAATACCTAGTTCCGACATCTTAACCTGCTATGACCCAGTTCAGACACGTTAACACACTACAAAAATTTAATTTATTACCGACGATCAAATATTTTTGGTAATAATGAATAAATCATAGGTAATATATTTATTGACGGTTTAGCGATGACAAAATCGATGTAGCAAAAACTCCTGTCAATAATAGAATTACCGACCTATTTAGCGATGATTTACATTAACCGATGGGTATCCGACGCGTCATAACCGTCGTTATAGATAAAAAAAAATATGTCATGTTTAATCGTAGCTTGACCGTCGGTTATATAACCGATACATATGTCTATAGAAAAGGTATTGCACTTCAGTCAGAAAGTCGCAGTATCGTCGGTAAAATGTAGCGCAATCGTCAATTAACAGTGAAAATTTACTGATAATTTTGACTGCAACAAAAGTGCAATATTTTGTTTAGAGGCCTCTTGTTTGATAAACCGTTGAAAAACCGTCAGCGTATAAATAAGGGGTCATAAAACCGTAAAAATGTTGTCAAAATCTTGTACCATAAGAAAAAAAATTAAATCCCTCTTTCAATGTTACAATATACACACATACAATCATAGCATTGCAATCAAAACACAACACAATATAGTACCAAAACTAATTAACACATAGCCAATATACAAAAAAAAGAAAAAAAATGAATTAATAAATTGTTTAATACACAATAAAAATAATGTTCGCTAATAATAAATTGTTTAATACACAAACAAATAAGGAAAAACTCCTTCCTCATCCTCCTCACCCTCATGTGCCATCTCCTCATCATCATCATCCCCACCATCATCCTGCACTGGCTCCTTCCCTTTCTGCAGTTCAGAACGCAACATTGCTTCAATCTCTGCCCTCATCTCCGATCTCATAGCGACTACCTAGGCAGCAACCTGGCAATAAATCTCCTCCTCATGTGAAGTGAAAATGGAAGCATCAGATGTGCTAGAGGTAGGACAGGAATCAAAGATTGGTGTCTGGGACCCAAACCTGTAGACCCTGCCCTTCTTCCCGCTGAAAGCCTCCCTCTGAGATTGTACTCAGAAGGATTGTGAGATGTGCTCGAACCACAGCTCGACTGCTTAGATCAGCTCTCCTTGAGCCTCTGGATGACCTCCTACAATACATATGATTAATGAAAGTAAAACTAAACAAATTTTGATAGTTACTTGAATTTTGTACTCATTAATCTTGTGACCTGGGTCGCTAACGATCTCCTTTCCACTCAAGACTAATATAATTGCCACCTATGAGTGCGCTTGTGTAACTCTGCAGCACTTAGCTCCCATCCTTTCTCCAATGTATGTTATTATAATGGAATAGTAGCAAACATTTAATGTAAGATAAGATTTAGTACAAAAAATAAGTCTTACCAACACCCTCGTGTACTCTGTACCTAGGAGCTCTCCACAGGTGTGCTTCGAGGCCCCCATGTCCCTGCAGTTAGAACGACAATTCAGGATTGCCTGCTCTCTCTTCCTCTGATACTCGGGAGAGTCCTAGGCCCTGAGTAGTTCGATAAACACATCCTCACCAAACCATGTCTTGTGTATATCACTGAACTGGTATCACAGACAACCGCTCATCTTGTGCTTGAAGTTCCTTCAAATGTGTGCCTCCTCCTCAGGAGGATATGACCATTGTGTCAGTAAATTGAATTAAAATTTTTTAGATTCATAAAAATACATACATAATTGTAATTTCTCTGTTCGGGTTTTATTTTAAACTCCCCAAACAACATATCTGAACTTTCATCGGGATCTTCCTCCAGGATAAGTATGGGTACTCATACTTGCTTCAAATTTTATCTCTGATGGAATGGATGACATGTGTGCAGAGACTAAATTTGAAAATAACATATGATTGGTTCTCTGTAAAATGAAAAAAAAAATTAAGGCATTAATGTCAGTATTAAATTAAAACTTACGTGTTCTCCACTGCTAGGAGATGATGATGGTTGCTCGTGTTGCTTGAACAGGACGATGAATCAATAATAGTTGATGTTAATGGTGCTAGTGTTGTGGTCATGACTAGTGGCTACGGTGGTGCATGGTCGTGACTGGTGCCGGTGGTGGTGTCATGGTCGCGGCTGGTGGTGGTGTCATGGCCGTGACTGGTGGTGGTGGTGGTGTCATGGCCGCTACTGGTGGAGTGCTAGTGTGGTAACTTGGATTAGAGGTAGTGTTGGTTTAGTGCTCTCTGTACCTGATACACCTTAAAATTATCTATTTTAAATATACATGGTTCATTTTATGCACATTTTTCATTTTATGCACATTTTTTATGATATTGTGTTTTAATGAAAAAAAATTTTGGATATTATTTGATTCAGTACAGGAAATGGTGTTTTAAAGAAAATGAGCAAAATTGAAGGCAAAATTATGACATGTGGCTGTGGCGCCAAAGCACCAAAGTCCAGCTGAAGATCGGCGCTAGGCGTCAGTGACATTTTCTTTCAGAGATGATTGAATTTGGACAAATTTTGAAGGGGTGCTTAAGGAAACTCTTCGGGATTTAGAGATTCTTATTTATTATGGTCAGATAAGAGTTTAAAGATGACTGTCATGAGAAGAAAAACTTAGATTATTTAGAGAGTCCACTTGATTAGAGAGTAGAGTAGAGTTTTTAGTGTATTTTCTTTGGATCCTTACAAGAAGAGTTTGGAGATTACTTCCAAGGAACTTTAGGATTTGCTTGGGGAGAAGCCTAAGATAAGTATTTTCTCTTTTTGTTTAAGTTATATTTTCTTATGCAAACTTGATCTTAAATACAAATATATGTGTTTTTGTGTTTTCTTCATGAATTTTGAGTAATTTTCTTTCTTTTTCATTTATATGGGAATTAATCATGTGGGATGAGAATGATTTGAAAATTTCTTTTTATTTAAAAAAAAATTGATGTCATTTTCACTGATTCTTCATTGTCTTTGTAAACTGACCACTTGTGAGGTTAAAATCTGTTGCGAAACATAATGACCAGGGAGGGCTAAGATTTCACCTAACTTGTGACCGTCACACTAACATTATGAGGAGGGTGACCAAAATTTAAGGAGAGTGCAAATAAGTAGGGAAATAAGTTTTGATAGGTGTAGAATTGATATTTCTAGGGTGAAATGCAAGCTTCTTTTATCAATTCGATCTTGAGTTTGGATATAAGAGTCCCCAGTAGCTCTTATAGAGAGGGAACTGTGGGTGATCTAGAAGTGAGAGGTTAGAATCTACTCAACACTACTACACAAGCTGGAACAAACTTAAGATTATCCAATGTTCTTCGCATGCACCGAGAGGGGGGTAAGGAATATGTATGATTTTATTTGTCACAATACAATATTTTATATTTTTAAAACATTCAAATCCTATGCTGATTAAGATCTCTTTGCAAGGGGAAAGATCTTTCATAATATTCAAACTCTTTTAAACCTTATTAGTTTATAAAAAAATGCACTTACTTTCTGCTTAAAATCAGTCTGCGCATAAATTTAGTTTTAATTCTTTAGAAATATTTCGACACTATTCTCCTATCATTTTTATCTATAATTTAGATAGAAGCTTTTCTAAGTCATTATAAAAAGTTACAGCGTCCCTGTGAGATCGATACTGAGGTTTTTAAAGAAAATTCTATATTACTTGAAACGATACGTATACTTGCGTAATACCATAGTGTGTAAAATATTAATAAAAAATTCTAAAGCTTATAACATATCAATTTTGCACACTAGACGCCAAAAATAATTCGGGGCAAGTTTTTGACAATTTTTTGGAATATAAATATCTCGTAATTACGGGTCGGGTCAGCACCACCACGTCCATGACCTCGTCAGCAAACAAATTTTTGCAGGCCGACACATCCCCCGATGGGGGGGCAGACCACCACTCCCTCTATTAGTCATATTTAAGAAGGAAATTAAATTTAATTAGAGCATCTACATACTACTAAAGATGAAAGTACGATAATGCATAGTAAGAAGAAAGTGCAACACTAAATTGCATGCAATCTATAGACTATTAAAATTAAAAATACAAGAGTGCACAGTAAACGAAAGAAAAAATTGTAAAGTACAATCTACAAACTACCGAAAATGAAAATACAGAAGTACAAAGTAAAACCAATAATAACATTTACATATATCTGTTAACCTTCTCTGATGAGTCAAATGTTTTTTTTTATATAAACAACTGTTTTTAAACCTTGTCCCAACCCTTAACATCTTAAGACTATCTGATGTCAAAACAACTCTTTATTCGTGAACAGCTCGTGCACGAACACACTTTTTGAGCTTGAAATATAAACAAGTCGAACACTAGCGAGCATAGGCTCAACTCGTGTTAAATAATTATTACGATACTTAAATATTGAAAGAATGATATATAACTAATTTAATTAATGCATACTCTTTGATCAAGTTATCTTAGATTTTGAATAAATTTATTAAATTGTTTCTATAAATAAGATCACATTTTCAACATGAATAGGAAAAAAACCTAAAAGTTATACATTCTCTTGAAGAAATCTTGAAATATCAAATTTATTTTGTGGCATTTATACACACACATACACATCACACAAATTTTATGTATTTACATATCCAACCTCGAAGCTTTAATATTTCCATTCATATCACTCAAATTTTTGACATCACGCCGAACATAATAATTTAACACTTTTTAAAAAGCGAAATACACCATCTTATACAAGCTTTATAGCACCATATTTATGAATGCAAATATTAAAATTTTAATTTTAAATATATAAAATTATGTAGCACGTATGTAAATTTCCCATTTAATTATTTTTAGTAAAAATTTAGTTAAAACTGCCTCCGTGGAATAATTTGCAGAATAATCCCCACTGTTGCTGCGGAAACATCGTCCGTTCTCGAACAAATCTACACCAACCATTTTTTCCCATCCTTCTGAATCAAAAACAGAATTTAAGAGGAGAAAAGCATAGGTGTACGGCTGTTGGCATTGCAGCGACAAATTCTTAGGGTCTTTGTCTCACGAATCAATAGAATATTCCTTCAATAGATGCCCAAATATGCTCTGCGTTCCCACCATTTAAGCGCTTCCCCTCCTCCTTCCCCTTCCGTTCATACAGAGCTCTAAAGATCTCATCTTTGATACAATGGCCAAGGAACAACTTGAGGTCCTCACCGCCCTCGATGTCGCCAAGACGCAATGGTACCACTTCACAGCCATCGTCATTGCCGGAATGGGATTCTTCACCGACGCCTACGATCTGTTCTGCATCTCCCTTGTCACCAAACTCCTCGGCCGCATATATTACCATGTCGACGGCTCTCCCACCCCTGGCTCCCTCCCTCCCCATGTCTCCGCTGCCGTCAACGGCGTCGCCTTCTGCGGCACCCTCAGTGGCCAACTCTTCTTCGGTTGGCTAGGAGACAAGCTGGGCCGCAAAAAGGTTTACGGCATGACCCTCCTGCTCATGGTTATCTGCTCCGTGTGCTCCGGACTTTCCTTCGGCCACACCTCTAAAGGCGTCATGGCTACCCTCTGCTTCTTCCGCTTTTGGCTCGGTTTTGGTATCGGCGGCGACTACCCTCTTTCCGCAACCATCATGTCTGAATACGCCAATAAAAAAACCCGCGGAGCTTTCATCGCCGCAGTGTTCGCCATGCAGGGGTTCGGCATTCTAGCCGGCGGTATGGTCGCCATTGCTGTTTCCGCCGCTTTTAAGAACCACTTCCCTGCCCCGACTTATGCCGCTGACCCTATCGCCTCCACCGTCCCGCAGGCTGATTATGTTTGGCGTATTGTCGTCATGGTCGGCGCTATCCCCGCCGCGCTCACATACTACTGGCGAATGAAGATGCCCGAGACCGCGCGCTACACCGCTCTTATTGCTAAGAACGCCAAGCAGGCAGCTTCCGATATGTCCAAGGTCCTCCAGGTGGAGATCAAGGAGGAGCATGATAAAGTCGAGCGCTTCATTGGCAAAAAAGCAAACAGCTTCGGGCTGTTTTCGAAAGAGTTCGTTCGCCGCCATGGTCTCCACCTCGTCGGCACGACGACCACATGGTTCCTCCTTGACATCGCTTTCTACAGCCAGAATCTGTTCCAAAAAGACATTTTTAGCGCTATCGGGTGGATCCCAAAAGGGGCAACCATGAACGCGCTGGAGGAAGTCTTCCGCATTGCGCGAGCGCAAACCCTCATCGCCCTCTGCGGCACCGTTCCCGGTTACTGGTTCACCGTCGCATTAATCGATGTTATCGGGCGTTTCACCATTCAAATGCTTGGTTTTGCGATGATGACTCTGTTCATGCTAGGCCTGGCCAATTACCTACACGTATTGGACCACACCAGGCCATCACATTGGTTTCATTATAATGTATGGATTCACGTTTTTCTTCGCTAATTTTGGGCCGAACAGCACTACCTTTATCGTGCCGGCGGAGATTTTCCCAGCGAGGTTGAGATCGACATGTCACGGGATCTCAGCGGCGACGGGCAAATTGGGAGCGATAATTGGCTCTTTTGGTTTCCTTTATCTTGCGCAGAATCCTGATCCAGCACGGGCTGATCATGGCTACCCTCCTGGTATTGGTGTGAGAAACTCGCTCTTTCTACTTGCCGGCTGCAATCTTGTGGGTCTGTTGTTCACCTTCCTGGTGCCGGAGTCCAAGGGAAAATCGCTTGAGGATATGTCAGGCGAGAATGATGAGGTGGTTTGAGAAAATCGGTCGATCCGGTGAGTTTGTCGCTTCTTCGGTTCAAGCCACGTTATGTAGACCAGTTGACTCAAATTTTTGTGGGTGGATTAATACGGGTAGCATGCCGGCATTAAAAGTTCTATAAGATTGTTTTATTTTTTTGTTTCGATTTGCTACCTGTTTTTTCTTTCTTTTATTTTCTTTTTGAGTTTAACGCAAATGTGAAATGAGAATTCTGAAAATAAATGTGTATTTAATATTTTTATATAAATTTAGCTGCCTGTATGTAACATTTCTGCAGTATTTCATAGCGTGCTATTCACATGACTTATTCATAGATTTAACTTGAATTCAGTCAAATATTTAAAAAATAAAAATTAAATTCTACTCTTATGTTAAATCTAATTTTCTCGCACTCTTTTTTCCAGCGTCCCGTCTTGTCCCTTTTACGACTTAAATCTGAATTTAATAAATATGATTATTAGGCAATGTATTCTGCCGTTGCTCACGTGCTTCTCTACTATAACCTAATTTTTTTAAATCTTAATTTATAGAATTTGATAAATTATACTTAATATAAATTTGAGTTGAAACTAAATACAGCTTTTGTTGAGAAATTAGGATGAAGAAAAATATGAATCGACACAAATTTAGAAGAACACACTGAGATTTGTTAGGTAGGACTCATAATACCAGAATTTGGAGTCTCTTGGAATGATGAGATGTCTTTTGAAATTGAAAATGCGTCTCTTGGAATTTAGTGGGTTAGGGGGGAGCGAGGGCACAATGGAAGCGTGGTGGTCCAACCCATTTTGGTACATAAGAAATTCTCCTAAAGGGTTGGATATTCGTTAAGATGGAGATTTGTTGGGTATATATAATTCTCATAAGGGGCTGGATATTCGTCAAGGTGAAAATTTGTTATGTATGACTCATATACCATAAATGGGACAGGTGCTGGAGCAGAGCAGAGCCCACGAGCGGAGTGGAGTGGAATGATCTGTCTAATCGAGGGAGTTTTATTATGTGAGTTGGGGCTGCAGGGGCAACACCCCGCGTTTTGATACATAAAAATTTAAGTAATTACATATTGTACTATAGAGTTATATATATGTCATGTCTGTTACTCTAGGTGAGCTGAATCTTGTATTATATACTCTTTTCTGAATATTGAAAATGAAATCACCACTCTGCTCTCGAGAATGTAGGTATCTCTGTCGAACCTCGTAAATCTCTGTGTGTTATTCCGGATTTGTGCCGATTCATATTTTTCTTTGCCTTAATTTCTCAACAAGAAGAAGAACCTGGAAATCTACCAATGACAAAGAGAGATGTATGGGAAACCAAATTCGAGAAAGATTACAAGGGGAGGAGAGAGAGAGAAAAAAAACATTCTTTCTTGTAATCATCGAGGTGATTGATGAGTTTATTTCTCAAAGTAATAAAATCCTCTGCAGCTTCGTAAACATAAGCAATTTGCCAAACCACTTAAATCAGTGTATTTCGTTATTTTCTATTTTACGATTTTTTTTATTCGATTTTTCACTTTATTACCGTTATTTTTTTAGATCATCTATTTTCGTATATTAATAGCCAAGATAAAGTCGGGAACAAAAAAGATATCGTGTGAAAGAGGAGAGGAGGGGAGAGATTGTCAATGTAAAGGGCATCATATTTCACAAGTTATCAAGACCCACACTCCAATTTACGTCAGTTGTTTTAGCCGCTTAACAGTCCAAATTAAGAAGGATAGAAAACTAATTTTCAACGCTTTTAAAAATGAGCATGGAGGAAGCATGATGGTGCAAAACCCCTCCTATTTGATGTTGTCAAAGTCATCATGATATTTCCCTCCTAGGTAGTTTACCGAGTGATTATAAAATTTGAAATATTTGTTGGTTTGAATTTGACTAGTAATAATTTAAAACAGATACGAGTCATTATTCTGACCATTTTGAGATTAATTTGTCATAAGAAAATTCGTTCAAGCAAGCATGAATATTGACGTAAATTTTGATTTGAAATTTTAAGAAACCGAATTTAGGATCATTAAATTTCTAGTTAGTCAACCCTACATTTGAATTGAACTCCCTGGCGAGATGAACCTAAACCAGATCAAGATTTTAAAGTGTCGTGGAAAGCTTCAATAACATTGATACATCATCGATAAATTTTGTCATTTTGCATGAATCTCGAGAAATTTTTTAGTTTATAAACATTCAAATTCAAGTTAAAAATCATCCAAAATTCCGATTTCAACGAACTTATAGACAAAATGGTTAGCTCGACGAGATGGACCCAATGACACTAAAAATGGTCTTATACAAGTCAAATCAAGCCCAAACCAAGCTGGTAAACCTTTTTTGGAATGTTTGAGTGATCAGTTGAAAGATTAAATGAATTTTAAATCTAACAAGCTTATAATCGAATCAATCGTCTCGATGAGATGAAAGCAACAATCCGAAGTTCACTTGATTGAGATATCATTAAGACACTTAAATGTCCGTAAAATATCGTGGGTTGTTGAATAAAGTGGTCCAAATTTCTGCCTTATTTACATAAAAGTCACTCCCAAACTCTATAAATAGAGCTCTCTACTTCCTTTATTAAAAGGGGGAAGAACTAGAACTAGAGCTAGAGTTGGACTGAGAGGAGTCGAATTCCTGTAATGTTATGAACCAAAGACCTGCTAAAAATTTCCTGCTCTCGTACTTGGCAACTTCGTCGACTAACGCTCATTGACCACCATTGAGAGCCATCAGCCGCACCCTTGTTGCTAACGTTGATGAATCCTATGGGACAATAATGCAACCTAAAGAGGGTCTAACGACGTTCCTTCAATATGATGTAATTCTCTGTCATAACTGCTTACAAGCGTGTACTAACAATGTGGTGACCTTCTTCAAACTTCTAAAGTCCTCTCCTCATAACTCTTCACTCTGAGCTACGATCTATGTGATTCATTATAATTACAGTCATCACTACAATTTTGATGACCACCTGACACTTTTACAACTCACTGTTATGGCCTATGTAGTCTAAAACTCAAGCAACTCGTAACTCTAGCTTTGGCGTCCCACGTATGTTATTATAAGTCTTATTTACGGACTACATGGTTCCTAGCTCATGCATCTCCCAACTCCAGCCACTATAACCTAAAAACGTTATTACAGTTTCATCACTGCACCTATGTGATCAATTACAACCTACATGGCTCATAAAACATGCAGCTCCCAAATTCGGTCTCTGTGGCTTACAGATGTTATTATAGTTCATCATTATGGCTTATGTAACAAACTGCTGCTTACGTGAAAATGTTATTCGAGCCGAACACGAACATGAAAATGTTATTCGAGCCGAACACGAACATGAAAATGTTATTCGAGCCGAACACGAGAACACTGTTCACGAGCGATTTCGAACACGAGCCGATTTCGAACACGAGCCGAATTCGAACGAGTCGAACACGAGCTCAGACTCGACTCATTTACAGCCCTAAATTTGCAAATCCTTTCCAATGTAGGCATGGAGGACAGCACATTGCTCAACACACCAATGTCGGTTCGCAAGTTGGCATCTTTAGAATAAGGTACATAATTTCATAACCCCACTCTCTATCGACAATTGACAGGATCTCTCCAATACCTTTAGGTGACTCATCCGGATATAGCCTATGTGGTTAACTGGTTATGTCAACAAATGCACTCTCCTACCATATCCCACTACAAAGCTCTTACTCATGTTCTTAGATACCTAAGAGGCACAATTCATTTAGGAGGTCTTAGCAATACCATAACAACTTCAACAATTATTAATTCCAGTGGTCCCCAAGAGAGGAGCTTGTTTATAACCTAACTATTGTCGGTTTGTTAGGATATTGCCTCCAGAACTTTCCCTTATATACTATAAATAATTACTTCTATGCGTTGTATTGGGTAATGAAGAACTATTGTTAGGATAATACTATTTTTTGTTTCCTCTTTCTTTTCTGTTTGTGTTTCTGTATGCATCAAATTTACATCCATGTTCAGAGGGCCCTAAAAGTCATTTGAGCGACCAAATCAACTGGAGGGTCTTTTGCCGCGATTGAAGATTGGATTGTCGAATCGATGGTCGAGTCAGTAGGCTGGATGGTTTTTTGTTTAATGCTACTAAGCGAATAAGATGACCCCACCTGATTTGACGTTCGAGCTTTCAATTTCTTCACAATGAATTTCTTCTTCCTCTTTCCTCTTGGTCGATCGAATCTGGTCCTTATCGAGAAAGTCACCAAATGGGTTTTGACACATTCTCCATTATAATACTCAAAAGATGGCTAACTCATATTAGGAACGAGAGAGATCCCCATCTCAACCAATTTATTTATAAGAATCGAAGGCATTGAAATCAAAAGAGTTTAATTGTTGAATCATTTATTAAAATTGAATATAATCTACTATAGCATTAAATTCTTTTATTCTTATAGCAACATCACTTTTAAGAAATAAGATGATCGAGAAACTAAAATATGTACATAAAAATGTGTTAGCACTAGTCTTAAATAAATCTAACGGTCCAGAATGGAAAGGTACATCGAACGGCTCACTGACACGAGATCCTATGGCTCACTTGATTGACTAAGCGAAGCTATAAAAGCCCATCCAACAAGGACAAAGCTGATAGGACCACAAGACAAATAACATGAGGACTTGATGATCCAAACACAGGTTCTTTGGCCAGAAACGAGACTAAAGAGAAGCTGATTCAACCACTGTAAGAAAGATGACCCTAAATGATAGATTACTCTTCAAAACAACAGATCTGGTTCAAGCTTAGCTGAATGAATTAATCGTACCATACGCCCATAGACGGGCCTCCAAATTATTGAGGTGGGGCAATTGGCCCCCCATTGAGATTTGAAATTTTATTAATGAAAGATATAATTTAATCACCATTTTGCCCCAATTGACCTGTAAACAAACATTACTCATATTCACAAAAGCCTTAATTTATTATTCTAAAGCTCATTTAACATTTTAAATTTAATGTATTGAATTTAAAAGAATTTAAGCTTAATCAAGCCGTTAGACTGATTTAATATTTAATCTTTTGTTTAAAAAAACTTTTAATACCAGTTTAAAAGTGTTAACAAGATTTTTCAACAGGGTCCATTCCCAAGTCTTGCCGACGCAGACTCCACCTATTTCTTAATTCAAAAAGCAACTTGATCTGTTCCCAAACTGAATTGGGACTAAATTCGCTTTTGCAGTTTGATCCCGAATGTGATATTAATGCAAAATTTACATGCATGCCGCTCAATTCCGATGTATTTACATATTTAGTACCTAAACTTCAGATTTTACATACATTCTACCTTTTCTATGCATAAAAAATGTATTTCACTTTTTTGAAAATTAAAATAGTGATATCACAAAAATTAAAATAATAATAATTCTAATATGATATTCAAAATTTGGGGGTTTAAATGTAAAAAGTGAAATTTAAATATTGATTTGTATACAAATAAGGTTGGGTGGCATGTATGTAAATGCCCCAATATTTAAAAAAGAAAATTTCATTTTTCTTACTCCTACTGTATATTTGTATTATTTTTTTTTTTTACTTTTCTTATATTTTAGCAAACCAAAATAAAAAAAAATAAAAAATTGGCATAAAATTATAGTTAGTCTCAATGTGTAAATTTATTTATTAGATTTCCAATATTTTTTTTGTATTGAGTTTGAGTTTCGCATGAAACTTGCACTTTGATAAATTTATATTTAATATGAATATTTACCTTAAAACATGCAAATTTTTTTTTAATTTATAAAAATATACAAAATAGATTAAAATGCCCATAAACTTATTTAATTTATCAAATATTATAAATTCATGTTTTAATTTTGAATAAATTTGCCCCTCTAAAAAAGAGGTTGGTTTCGCCTCTGAATAATCCAATATATATAAAATATTAAAAAATACAGAAATATATATCCCTTCAATACAGAGCAAAAATATGATATCATTTTTGTACTGTTTTTTTTCTAAATAGACAAAAATATTTTATGAATGAGTCAAGATTTATTTTTGTTTGACCTTTATTATTGATTTCTCTTTCCATCACACTACCTCTTTGTCTTAGATGTAAGGTCTCTTTGGGACAGCTTAATGGGAGTGGCGGCGTTTTGAAAACGCCGCACAGGCGTTTGGATGTCGCGTTCGCACGAGCATATTACCACGATTGATACACGCTATTAACGAAAAATGCACTACGAAAATAATCCCATCTCATTTCGCGTCCTATGAAAATAATCCCTCTTCGGTCCCCCTCGACAAATTTGAATTCCACACTGAGTTCCGTTTGGCACAAAGCATTTGGCTGTCAATTATTGTTTAAATTCTTTCTTTTTGTAATCCCATTGGCGAAAAGTCAATAATCACGACAAAGGACATGTAAAATACCACGGAACTTTTCGCATATTCCTTCCGAGTCAATGATTGCATCATACAGTCTTCACTCTTCACAATCTTATATACCCACCCAAACTCAATCCACAGCTCAGGAGAGCCACACCACTCACAAAACTCCTTTTTTTTTTGTTTGTTTCACTCTCTTCTTTCTCAATTTTCGAAAGTTTACTACCCAGACTCCTTCATAAAATTAATTCAGCCATGACGGCCAGAGATCTCCAAGTTCTCAGCAAGCTTGACGTGGCCAAAACCCAACTATACCACTTCAAGGCCATCGTCATCGCCGGTATGGGCTTCTTCACCGACGCTTATGACCTTTTCTCCATCTCCCTCGTCACCAAACTTCTCGGCCGCATCTACTACTTCGACCCCAACTCCAACACACCCGGCAGCCTCCCCCCAAACGTATCCTCCGCCGTTAACGGCGTCGCTTTCTGCGGCACCCTCGCCGGTCAACTCTTCTTCGGTTGGCTAGGTGACAAGATGGGCCGCAAAAGAGTCTACGGCATGACCCTCATGCTCATGGTCATCTGCTCCATCGCTTCCGGTCTCTCCTTCGGCCACACAGCTAAAAGCGTCATGTCCACTCTCTGCTTCTTCCGCTTCTGGCTCGGCTTTGGTATCGGCGGCGACTACCCTCTTTCCGCCACCATCATGTCCGAATACGCAAATAAGAAAACTCGCGGCGCTTTCATTGCCGCCGTTTTTGCGATGCAGGGTTTCGGAAATCTCACCGGTGGCATCGTCACCCTTATCATCTCCGCCGGGTTCAAGAGCAACTACGACGCGCCCAACTACAACGATGACCGCGCTGGCTCGACTGTCCCACAAGCCGATTATGTGTGGCGAATCATCCTCATGTTTGGCTCTGTTCCTGCTCTGCTTACTTACTATTGGCGCATGAAGATGCCGGAGACCGCCAGATACACCGCTCTCGTCGCCCACAACGCCAAGCAGGCAGCTTCCGACATGTCCAAGGTTCTCCAGGTCGAAATCGCGGAGGAGCAGGAAAAGGTATCCGAAGTCGCCATTGATCAGAGCAGCAACTTTGGGCTTTTTTCCAAGGAGTTCGTCCGCCGCCACGGCCTCCACCTCGTTGGCACAACCACGACTTGGTTTCTCCTCGACATCGCTTTTTACAGTCAAAACCTCTTTCAAAAAGACATCTTTAGCGCTGTCGGCTGGCTTCCCAAGGCTGCCACCATGAGCGCGCTGGAAGAAGTCTACAAGGTCGCCAGAGCACAAACGCTAATTGCACTCTGCGGCACCGTGCCAGGCTACTGGTTCACCGTGGCACTCATAGACACCATCGGCCGTTTCGCCATCCAATTGATTGGTTTCGGCATGATGACAGCCTTCATGCTTGGGCTGGCCATTCCTTACCATCATTGGACGACAAAGGGGCATCACATAGGGTTTGTGGTCATGTATGCTTTCACTTTCTTTTTCGCTAACTTCGGGCCAAACAGCACAACTTTCATCGTGCCGGCAGAGATTTATCCTGCGAGGTTGAGGTCGACATGCCATGGGATATCTGCGGCGGCGGGGAAGGCGGGGGCGATTGTGGGGGCGTTTGGGTTCTTGTATGCGGCACAGGACAAGGATCCGGCGAAAAGGGATAAGGGTTATCCGGCGGGTATTGGGATAAGGAACTCGCTCTTCGCGTTGGCTGGTTGTTGTGTTTTGGGATTTTTCTTCACTTTTCTGGTGCCTGAGCCGAAGGGTAAGTCGCTGGAAGATATGTCGAGGGAGAACGATGATGATGAAGAAGTACAGACCACGGCGGTCGTTGGCATCGAACGCGCGCTTCCAGTTTGAAACTATCTAAATTATGTTGGCTGGTGATATATTTGTGTAATATGAATTAGAAGAGAGATTGCGTCTGTAGCGATCTTTTGTCCATCTTGTTGAATTCTAGCGAAACTATTTATACTTCTTAATTTGGGCAAAAAATTTACGTACATAAGACGTACGCAGAGATGCGTACATCTGTAACCTGCAAACATATTACATAGAGGATTTTGGGAGGTTATAACCGCGTTATAGCCCCTGTAACCTACCTGTATATGAAAACAGAAGCGCGGAACTTACTAGAAGACACAGGTAGATTACAGGGAGGTTACATGAGTTGTAACGCGATTATAACCTCCCAAAATCCTCCCTGTAACTTGTTTGCAGGTTACAGACGTACGCATCTTTGCGTACGTCGTATGTACGCAATTTTTTTCCTAATTTGGGGGCTATCTTTTTCCGAATCATAAGTTTTTTAGTTTTGTATTGGATTTAAATTATTGAATTTGGAGTTTGTTTAATTATTTAAATAGTTTAAGATTTATTTTTTTATGAAGCCTTCAAGTGCTTTAATAGTCTCGTTGGATTGAAATTTAAGCAACCTTGATGATTGTGAAATATTCTCATTAAGTTCCCCGTTTTGTTTTTTTTTTGGAACATGCAGAAACTAAATCTATTTGATTTAAATAACTTTCTAGTCTTAGATTAAATATTCGATCATTTAAAAGTTCACATTGTATTCGAAAAAAATTGTAAAACAATATCAACTATTCAGTTATTTTATGACGTCCAAATAAATGAATCCAAAATTGCTTCGTGACTTGTGTTGGACATTAATGATAAAATTGTGGATTTCACCATTATAGTGCATTGAATAAATGAAGTCTCCGTCGCGTCAAAATGGGAGGCGGGCGAACGAATGATGAAGGAGAAGAGCAGCTATCATTATCTTTCACAAATTTAATTTCTACAAATGCTAGATTAAATATCGTATTATAAAAGTTTAGAGTATTGTTGGTAGAAGAGGGAGACAATGACCGCAAATAATTCTCGAGAGAAGAGTTGGGAGTGAAAGTCCCTTTATTTATCATTGGGTAGGAGAAGTGATTATGAAAATGCAATTAATTACCAAGATGAGCGAGTGATTATGGAAACCACCTTTAATGTAGTTAATGCCCTAATTTAATATAAGATTCACATGATTAAATTCCAAAATTTTATTACAATTTGAATTTGAATATAGCGGCTATCAGTCGATCGACGTTTTTGAATTCGGTCGACATAGGCAAGCGGTCGAATAATGATTGTTCGTACGGAAGCAAAGGCGGTCCATTGTCCAGTTTCAATCGGACGCACCTAGAATCGCAAGAGTGGCTTGCTGACATGATTCATCAGCACCGTGTGTTGATCTACTTTGACCAAGTAGTAGGTTCATCGAATGAAGGGCTCTGATCGTGTTCCTCTAATCTGATGTTCTGATTGTCTGGTTATCATCCCTTACCATAAGATTGTTTTGAGATTCGTGTCGACAGTTTTGATGCATACATTTATGACCTAATTTCACTAAAATATTATATGTTTATTAGTCACCTAGAGGTGGTTATCACAATTCTTGAGGAATACAAATGACCCCTATTATCATTAAGCTTATGTATGTAATATGCGTCACATTATTGTAGGCGTCATATAAAACGTGTTGTTACTGATGTAAAGATGGATGTCAAATCATCAAAGACCTGATGTTAATAGCTGAACAAGACTGTGAAAAAACTAAATTATGCTCATGGTGGGCAATATTCACCTTAAAATTTGATATTTTTTGTAATAAGTCAAGCAATTTAGTAATTCCCCATCTCTCCTCCCTTAATAAATTCTTTTGCCCAATATTTGATGAAAGAGTAAAAATATTCCGATATAAGTGTTTAATTTTCAGTAAAGTTGTTGCACCACTCATAAAAGATGTTAGTTCCCTGTCTAATTGAGCACCATAACATATCTCGCTAGTCAAGGATTATGAGAGTTAGCATATAATATACATTTAACATAGTACTAATGTGCTAAAATGTCATGGCTATTAGGTGTTGCAAAGATAAAATTTGTGGAAAAGTTCTTGATGAAAATTTTGAGAAATAAATTCAAGAAATGCTAAGTTGCTTGGAGACAATCAAAGAATTAGACAACTTAGAAAAAATAGAACTAATGGGGCACCTCTAATAATGACATTAAGAACTTATTTACCAGCAATATGGTTAACAGGAGCAAAGATAATGATCAAAATAATAGATAGTGTGCTCAAATGCATGAAGTGAGAAATCTCAATAGGTCAAATTCCAGCTCTCACTCTGCTTGAAAAAAACAAAATAATAAATGGTTGCTATTATTTTAAAAAAATTATTGATTAGGGGGCTAATGTCAAATGATAGGGCATGCTAGCTAAAGGATGAAGTTCCAACAAAAATTTGGGGGCCAATGATTGGTGTGTTGGCAAACATTATGATAGAACATGTACATTAGATTGCCAGTTCATTTGATTAGATTGGTGCATGTGGGTGGCTGCAATATTTAAGGGCCCGACCCAACAAAGACTTAATGTGCACATATTGAATAATAATTTGATTCAGAAAATAATTACTGAGGATGTCAGCTCAGACTAACAAATTATCCGCCAAACGTACGATCTAATTAAGGTGAAGAAAATTACATTTCTTCTGCTTTGAAGAACTAAAATATGTAAAATTGCATATTTGGAAAAAAAATTAGAACATGACCACTGTATGATCATCAAAATAAAGCTCATCATGAGGTCATGTAATAACTTCTGATATATTTGGTATTTTCTAAAAACATATTTATTTAGTATTTTTTAAAATATTATTATTTTTATTTCTACAAATAAAAAGTTATTTTTAAAAACATTCAAATTAACTTTTAGATATTTAGAAAATAATTAAAAATAATCATTTCTTACTCAAATATATTAAACATGTTTAGTTTTAGATTATAACAAAAAAACAAAATAAAATAAAAATAAAAAAATAAAAATAGTAATTAGAAAAAATGATCCCAAATAACCTTTTCTTATTTGTATTTTTTAAAATATTTATTGATACTCTATTTTTTTATTGTAGTTTTCTAAAGTCTTAATTTTTTAAATATTTAAATTATTTAAACTAATTTATAGCATGTTTGGGCAATTTTTTTTTTAAAATAAATCTTCAAAATTACTTTTTAACTTCTCAAACAAACTATTTTTGCTTATAAATATATAATATATAAATTCTGCTCTTGCAACAAAAAAACCATAGTCTCCCTTTATAAAATCTCTATTTTCCAATTTAAAAATTCTAAAGATTGTCCCTGACATACAACCATTTCATAAATTTAATCTTTTTCTAGAAAATATATTGCGTCTTGAGTACGGAAGCAAGCTACGTCCGGACAACGGACACGATACACTAGGGGCAATTTTTTTTTCCTCCTCTCTTCCATTCAGTGTAGTGTGTTCATTATCTAAATGTAGCTTAAGTTCAGACTCTGGACATAATTTTTTTCATTATAGAGGTTCTAAACTTCCTCTTAGAAGATGTCAATTGTTCGGGTCATCAAGCATTGGAGCTGAAGTGATAAAGTTGTGCCCCATATTTTATAGCTAGAATCTTCTTTTAAAAGCACTTCATACTCTTAAATACCTTTCCAAGATAAAACAAAAGGAAAGCAGAGGCTACGTAAAAATAAGTGATATGCATATGGCACAGAAAGGATGAAGTGACCGTGCATAACACTTAAATGTCCAACACATATATTTTTATGTTTATATGTATAAAATTTAAATATTTAACATCTCATAAAAAAGATATAACTCTAGCTAACTGTTTAAAAGTGAAATATATTTTTGTATGCATAAATTTAGACTTTAGAGGGTGTCATTCATGTACATATCACACAATTCGTATATTTTTACTTAACTTATAAATAAAGATAATTACATTTATTGCATAAAATTACTGAACATTTAATTCCAAAAAATATTATATTTGACATTTTATGTAATACCCCCAATCAATTAATGATTAACATCGCCTAATATTCAATTCCAACAATCTAATATACTATTAATCGTTGACTAACTATTGGTATAACTTTTGGAAGTCATATATGTCTGTATTTGCTTGAGAGCTATAGGTCAGTTTACAACTTCTCGTAGCCTAAGACAATCATTTGAACCATCCTGGTACGTGTCTCGACCGCAGGATCAGGACGGTACCGGTTCAGCTCCGCCCGAGAAAACTCACCCTTTGAACAACAAAAAATCATTTGAAATCTAGAATTTGTATGATGCTTATTTTTATATTTGAGGACCATATTCTATCTTCTGGGGCCTTCCTCAGTCCAAATGAGGCTTAAAGCCGCTCCGACCGGCACTTTAGGTGCGATGGTCCGGCGTGACCACACCAAGAATAGGTGTGGACACGTCTGACCTTCGCACGATCATGCTAGAAATGATTGTGGCCACGCTCTAGGAAAACTAGGTTGGAGCAGAAACACACAAGGTGTGACCACGCCCGATGGCAGCGTGGTCATGTCACCATACAAAGAGCTCGATGTAATTACACTTGGTCTCGGGCATGACTGTGCCAAACCCTTATCTATGATGCCTTTTACAGTGGCGTGAACACGCTCAATTTCAGTGTGGTCACGTTGCGACATCCCAAAGCACAACATTTGCACAGCGGTCCCAAGATTACTGCCGACAACACCATCGGGACTGCCTCATAATGCCTTTTGTCTTGTCCTTTGTCCAAAAAAAGGGATGGAGACTAACCTAGGCCCATTCTAAATAGGAAAAGTGAGCTTGAAGCCATTAGAAATTGGCTTCCTAGGCAAGGGAAGAAGGATCGATTGTCATTTATTGGGGAAGAGCTTTGAGAGTGAGGGGGAGGAGCTGAGCAGGAACTTTTTATGGTCTTCCTCCATCTTCTTCTTCTTCCCTTCCATCTTGTTCTTATTTCTCTATAGATTTAGCGAGAAGAGTGAAGAGGAGAGCTTTGGAGGACAAAAGCTTGAGGATTTTGGATATTTTTCTCTCCATCTTCTTCTTCTTCACCCTCTTTACTGTTCCTTCTCCAGCCATCATCTCGTCGGATAAAATAGTGGGAAGAAAGAGATCTTGCTCAGAGTAATGTCGAAGTTTCCTTTAAGAGGAGAGCTTCTTCACTTTTGGGAGAAAGATCCTCTTCGGAGTTTGAGATTTCACCGGAGCTCGAGATTCCGTCGAATTTTCCTTTGCAAGGAGTGCTTCATCTTCGAAATTGAGGACGTCATCAAACATCAATGTCCCTTGTTTTTTTTTTTTTCATTTCCTTAGCTAGCCTTATGATTGTGTTAGAGAATATTAGAGCTAGTTGTTGTTATCTTAGAGAAAGTCACAAAGATAGGAATTCAAC